CATGGCCACTGGTCCTGTCACCTCCTGGCAAATAGAAGGGGAAGATATGGAGGCAGTGACAGATTTTGCTTTCTTGGGCTCCATGATCACTGCAGATGGTGACAGCAGCCACAAAATTAAAAGACACCTGCTTCTTGGGAGGAAAGTGATACCAAACCTAAACAACATCTTAAAAAGCAGAGACATCACCTTGCCAACAAAGGTCCGCATAGTCAAATTCCAGTAGCGATGTATGGAAGTGAGAGATGGACCATAAAGAAGGCTGACTGCCAAAGAATTGATGCTTTTCAATTGTGGTGCTGGAGACGGCTCTTGAGAGTCCCCTGTACTGCAAAGAGAACAAATCTATCCACTCTGAAGGAAATCAACCCTGAGTGCTCACTGGAAAGACAGATCCTGAAGCTGAGGCTCCAGTACTTTGGTCATCTCATGAGAAGAGAAGACTCCTTGGAAAAGACAATGATGTTGGGAAAGTGTGAAGGCAATAGGCGAAGGGGACGACTGAGGATGAGATGGTTGGACAGTGTCTGCGAAGTGACCAACATGAATTTGACCCAACTCCGGGAGGCAGTGGAAGACAGGAGGGCCTGGTGGGACCTATGGTCCATGGGGCCATGAAGAGTCAGACATGACTTAATGACTAAACAATAACAACAGGACTTAAAATGGGGAGAAAAGACTTTCTGGGATGAGCCATAGTAGGATCATGCAAAAAATTAGGACTGCTTTGAGGTGATAGTGGTGGAGACTAGGCATGGACAGTGTGGCTATAATGTGAGAGTTTCTTATGATTTGCTGCTTGAAGGAGGTGGGAACAAAGAGCAGTTGTTACAAGGAGAGAAACAGAATGTCTGTTTTCTGTTGTTGTGTTTTCCTGGAACAGAGGAAGGGACAGTGCTTAATGTTGTAAGAAAATGAAGTTGGGACTCTTCATCTGACTTGAACTGATGCCATGAATTCTAAGTGTGTAGAGAGACTGTCCTTGTTCAATAATAATAGATGGCATTGGAGCATATATAGAGGGGAAAGCATGTTTAGAGACATTTTATTGTCACCACCATTATTTTTTGAGAATTCTGTGTCATGCATTCACTGTTCAGTTTTCAGCTCATGACTCATTCTGGGCTTCAGTACTCTTCAGCTGTAAAATGGGGCAAGTTACAAAAGTTGTATAAATCCAGTGTAGCATATATAGGTCTAATTTATTGGTTAACACTTGTCATGTGGTATGTATAGCTTGCCTCTGATCTCTGTAGGATCTACTCCCATTTCCTTTTCACCTTTTTGCTCTGTGGCACATTTGAATCTAGATTCTGTGGTCATCACAGTAGCCTACCAGACTACCCTGCTAGGTTGCCAGATTCTGCCCTGAGCCTTCCTCTCCTGCATAGGGGCGCCTCTGTTTTCAGCTCGGGAATATAGAATCCGTAGAGCAGAAATTGCACACAGAGCTAATATTTTACTTTTGCTTTTTAAAAACTGGAGCAGGGAACAGGAGTAGATTGTCCCTTTTTCCTTTAAAGTGTTATTTTCCAGGAATCGTTGAGAATATTTTAGCCGTCTGTTAGCTGTATGTGCTTTCTCTAATTCTAAAATTTCTTGAGAAGTCATCTTTAAAACATTGACTCTGGATTAAACTGATTGAAAATTGTAGGATAATTCACTGTTATCACGATCAGTACCTCTATATTAAAATATTTTTTCCTCTTCAAGTATAAATCTGAGAACAGTGATTCACTGTGGTAGTGTGATCACGATTTAAAATAGCGTAGAGAGAGATTTATGCTACGATATTGTGAGATGTAATTGGGTTACACTTGTGTACTTGTTAATAAATTATTCACAGCTCTTCAAAAGAGAGCAGTAAAATTATTTTGATGAAGTAAAATGGGCAGCAAGAACAGGAATACAAAACATGTGATTGTTTTGTTTGGTACCCAAATGTGTTTGTCCTGTCATAACACTGGCATGTTTTCAAACTGTGTCGGTTTTTGGGTTGCTACCAGGGAACGGTGCAAAAAAAAAATGTACTGAGTACAGAGCTTTTTGAAAATGTTCATGGAATACACATGCACACATGCGTGAGCGCACACACACACAGAGACACAGACACATCTGTTTAAGCATATGTATTCAATAAATCTGTGAACTCTAAGATGGTTGCCGTATCCATTCTGAAGCATCTTAAATGCTTACCTGATTTTGATATGTGTATGATTTTTGTCTGATCGTTTTCTCTTGCTTCATGTTGTGCAGCTTTCTTCTCAGAACAGCAGCGCTGCATGTGAAGAAGTGGTCATGCAAGCAAAATGGGGTAACCTGGATATGTCATTTCGCTCGGCAGGGTTTGTGTGTGTGTGAGAGAGAGAGAGCGTGATCTGTGTTGTATAATGGCTGTTTTCACCTTTAATTGTCTATAGAGACTGAACGACAACATCGTCATCATCCATAATGGCAACCCAAGGGTTTATAGTAACGCCAGCGAGGAGCTGAAGGATGTGGCATGCTCCGCTTGGATGAGGCAGGATTGCTTTAAGCAGTAAGCTTAGTGTTTTCAGATAGCATTAGCAGCATCCCTGATGTAGCAGCTCTGCCGGTCTCCTTCTCTAACCAGACGACTGTGTGTGCACAGGGGACGGAGAGAAGAATACTGGAGATTTAATATTTTGAAGAAGCACACTTATCACTTGCTAATGGAGAGACCTGACGGGTTTTTTTGCTAGCCCAGAAGATGCCTGAAAGATAGCTAGCTGAGTGTGATACATTTCTACTACAAGACAGGGGATGCTCTCTGGGAATAAAAAGGTCATGCAGCTTGGAATCGGTGAGCCATTCCAGTCTCTAAGTCACCAGGTATGGCCTTGTGGTTTATCATCATCACAGCTCTAGTAATGGTTTCCCATTAGTATTTCCAGTGCTGCCTTTTTTTTTTGTTTCTTTTCTGCTTTGTTTAAAATGGGAGCAAGTCAGTGGATGGTTTTATTTTCGGATTTTAATGCAGAATGCTAAAGGCTTCTTTAAAACCCAGGAAGGTGTGTGTGTGTGCATGTGTGTGTCTATTGCATGGTTGTTTTGGAAATAAAAAGTATAGTCGTTTTCTAGTAAAAGAGTGTTTGAAAACAGCAAGCAAGCATTTTAATGTACATGTTGATTTCTGCAAAAGCCTATATGCCTGATGTAGAGGAGATGTCAATGACATGACTCAAAAGATCAGAACCATGGAGTGGGTTTGGGGCATACAGTGCTGATTGGACTACCTTTAAAAAGTTTGTTCACACAGCAGCATGTTAATCAGGACTCTGCATAACTTTCATGAGAGCAGGTTGTAAACTATCTGTTTGATGACAAAGGGCTAAAAATAGATGGTCACAGTGGCCATGGTAAATTATTCTGTATAAGTCAGACCTTTTTCTTAATTTAGAGTAGTAAATATAGACTTGTGTTTGTTTTAATGGTTTGTTACTTTCGAGTTGCTGCATAAGAAAGGATCGGGCATGATGTTAAAATCTTGAATATTTTGCTCCTTCTCTCTCCCCCTTATTCTCTCTGTGGGTAAAATGTTGGTATTCTTTTCTTTTTTTATGTAACCTTCCTCAATCCCATTGTTGTCACCGGCTATACAACTGAAGCAGAGTTTTCAAAATAAGAGGCAGCTGGGTCTTTATTTTATGTAACGTTTAAACCACCACTGTGTCTATAGCAGCCTATTTTTATGTGCTGGCAGTGGGGAAAAATAAATTGGAAGCCGTGTAATCAGCTTAGCTATGTTCATTGCAAATGGCACTGAATAACCAAAGGAAGGGTCTCTTGTTTGTGCATCATGCATAATGTGTAAGGAGATTATGTCTGAAAATGGGCACAAACGTGATTTTGTTTTCATATTTCCTCCCCTTTTTTGGCCATCAATTTTGCATATTAATTTACCTACTTCTGACTTGTTTGCTAGACATTTCCTTAGTATATATCTGTATACAGTATATCAGAAAATAATGTTGATGGCAATCTTGCTTGTAATTCATGTAGCACTTCATGTACAGTTGATGTTCAGAGTGGTCCAGGAAAGGGGTATTTTCCGAGTCTTCAATCTTGAGAACAATGGATTAAGGATTTGAAAAGATAATCCGTGTTTCATGATTCAAAAGAGAGAAAGATATTGGAAGTTCACTTTCTTGGAATTTAAATCTAAATTTTGAACACATTTTCCCCCAGTCTGCTTATTTTCTCTTTCTCTTCTCCAGCAAATGTATGTTGGGAAATCCAGCAATGGCCTAAAGCTATGGCTCATTTAGCAATCTGCTTCATTCAAGTCAATCACCTTTAATTAAAAACATATAATAAAACAATATTTGGCCTGTTGCTAGTGATTCCAAATGATGTGTTTCCTAGTGTACTTATCCAGCTTATGCTTTGATTAACAGTGGGGGAGATGGACACATTCTTAAACTTGATTAGTTTTAGAATGGTTTTAATGTTACTTTTTCAGTTGCTACAGAATCACGTTTAATCTTTCAGAATTGCGTTTTAGAGAATTTTAATGCAAGAGGTACATTCTGTTTCTTGGCAGCAGACTGGAATTCTTGCGAGTTCAGGTTTTCTAGTGATTTTGCAGGCTAGTTGTGATATTTTCTTCTCCAGGAGAGCACATCATTGTTTTTTTTTTATTAATCTTAAGGCCTTGTGTACAAGCTGACCTGAAGTTACTCACAAGAGGAGTATCAGTAGGGAGAATCTGAACTGATAATGTTTGGCCATACTTGTGAAAAAGGTGTAACCCTTTTTGTACTTCTCACTCTTTTGCTCTCTCTTTCTTTGCTTCCGTTGTCCTAAGTGACATCATCAGACATGATCCGATTGCAGTATGATGGAATGACATCATTCCATTTACTGCATGATCCCTAATTGGCTGGGTTTCCCCTTCTGACTAACTCAGGAGATGAAAGGAAGAATATTATTAAAAGATCTCTGGGTATTGGGCAAGTATGGCAGTGGTGATGACTGACAACAAAAATATTCTTGAATCTACAGCATGTCTCTCAATTCTTCTCCTTTCCCCTCCCCCCATGTCCATCTTGAAAACCAACACAAGAAAATGTCCATGGTACATTGTTCCTAATCTGTCAAACAAAGTTTTAAAGGATCAGGCATATGATTTGGATTCATACACCTCTTTATTCTTTCTCCTTCTCTATATACATTAAATATAATTATTTTGCAACTATATCACAATTATTAATAATTGTGTGGTATCAAATCAATTCTGATGTATGGCGACCCTTTTCAGGGTTTTCTATGTAGGGTGTATTCACAAGTGGTTACTATTCTTTTCTTTTGGAGGCCTCCTGAGATGGTGCAGCTTGCCCAAGGCCACACAGGCTGGCTCTACTCACAGTAGGCACAGTGGGGAATCGAACTTCCCAACTATGGCTCCGTAGCCAGCAAATTATGTTAAAATACAGGTAATCAGCACTGCTTCAAGGGATTATGTTTTTTTAATTTCACTGTGAGTTGTGAAGGATATCAGGATGAATTTACAGTGGTGGGGAGGGGTCAGGATTGCAACTTTGCCAGGGAACTGACATTTGTGTAATAAACAGATTTTAAATATTGTTTCTGGAGCAGGGCAACCTCCAGAAGTATGTTTTTATTTGAACAGACAAAACTGATTGATGCAGGAGATAGATTGGTGTATAGATTTTTTTTTTGCTTGATTACATGGAGAGTATGTCTTGACAGGAAGTGACAATAAAAGAGTAACAGTTTTAAAACACCTATTTCCGGCAGATCTATAAGAAGGCTGTCCATGCCCTTACGTATAGTGGCAGTATTAGCAGTCTTAAAAGAGTCAAAATAATTCACGTTGAATTAAGAAAGGAGAAAAATAGACACTATAGGTCTGGGCTGGGTTTAAAGGTGGATGACATATACAGTTAACTTCTCCATCTACAAAAACAGAAGCACTCATGAGTTGATATTCTATTCCATGGAACTTTAAAACTGTATATTTTCAATGCCAGGTCCTTATTTGGGGGAAGTTGCATTCAGTAGACATCTCCTCTTGGAGTCTGTTTCTTCTCCTTGTTGCTTTCAACTGTGGTTTGCCACAGAGAGCAGAGTTTGGAATGCTTTGCATTACATGCTACTCTGAGCCGAAGTTGCTGTTATTATTGCTTTGATCGTGCAAGGAATCTATTTTGTTACTTGTTGTTAATGCCTTGTATTATCATTAACAGCAGGGGAAAATGCAACATATTACTTTGTGGTTCCCTCTATTAGCCAATTTTAATACTGCATGTTGCTAATATTTAATAATAACTGTATCAGGGCTTTCCAGGTGTAGAGTACTAGGAAGTCATTTATTTTTCCCTTCTTCTGGGGGGGACTCTGGAACGGTGCCGCTTGCCTTAGGCTATACAGGCTGGCTGTTCGTTCAGGCACAATAAGGAATCAAACTCCTAGCCTCTAACTCTGCAACCATATATCTAACTAACCAAGCTATCTTTGCAAATATTTTGTTGTTGTTTAGTCATTAAGTCGTGTCCAACTCTTCGTGACCCGATGGATCAGAGCACACCAGGCCCTCCTGTCTTCCACTGCCTCCCGGAATTTGGTCAAATTCATGTTGGTATTACAAATATTTACCACAGACAAAAACAACAACAATACAAAATAAAAGAGTGCTTCATTTCCCCTGGTAAGAGAATGGAATAAAACCTTAAAAAAAAAACCTGTGAGAATGTCTCTACAAATGCCTTAAAATGCCCTTTAAAAGAACCTTTGAAAGTAACTCTAAAACATTGCTCATTACACTAAAATATAACTTTTGCTGTATGCTTGTAAGTATTTATTACACTGCATGTTACTCCAAAAACCATTAATTAAAGATATGTTACTTGTAACTAAATACTTCCAGTTCCTCATTTAGAGTGATACACAGGCCCAAAACAGATGGATAACTTTGCAATTAGAAGGAGAGCTGACCTAAGCAGTGAAGGATGTCTCATTATTTTCTCATGTCTTTCTTGGCATTGCAAATTGCAAATTATCCTGTTTTTCTTCTGTGATTGGCCATTGGGAAGAAAGAACAATTCCATTTGCACATTGATTTTTGCAAGTACAGCAGCTCTGAAGACATGCCTCTGGAGGGAAAATGTGTTATTGCCTCCTAATTATGAAGCTTCCCATCTTGTCTGTTTTGGTGTTGAACAGCAGAGCAGCACGCTGGTCCAAAACAGATAAGATGTCCTGTGAAATGGGAATCAGTATGTACATGACAACATTAGTCCCTGATGAAAACCCTGCAGTTTCCCACCATATTGGTTTTTGCTAGCTGGTTTTTGAGTTTGATAGGTGTCTTCTAGATGCAATTAGAGGTTGTGATATCTTCATTGGGTAACTTGAAACTACAGCTGTCAGCATCAGAATTGCAGGGATGTTGACAAGTCTTTGGATCTGAGACCCAAGCCCAACCCCGAGTCTTTGGTACCAAGTCTCAAGTCTGAGTCCCTATTAAAAACAAGCCCCCCTGCCCCCCCAGAAAAAAAGGGGGTGGGTGGATTCCGAGTTGTGAATTGAGCCCAAGTCATTTGAAAAACAACAACCCCACGTCAAGTCAACAGTGTGACTTAAGTCTGACCTGACAGTGACCCAGGAATCGCCCAGATAGTGCAGTAACGGCCCAAGTCATTTGAAAAACAACAACCCCAGGTCAAGTCAACAGTGTGACTTAAATCTGACCTGACAGTGACCTAGGAATCGCCCAGATGGTGCAGTGACTTACCATTCTGGATTGAGAATTCTGAACTAGTTGAAAAAAAATATTATTCAAAAAATAACTTCGTTCTCTCTCACCTGTA